ACCAAACCCACAAACAAACCCCTTTATATTAATGTGTCAGGTGCTGATGAGTGTCTGCTGTCCTGCACTGATACCATAAATTAGCATTCCTGCTTAGCTCTCCACGTACCTAATTTCCTTCAAAAAAAGGTACACTAAAGAATTTCTAAAGGTATTTTGTGCAGTGGGAAGTTTTAAAGGATAGTTATGTTTTGAGTTTGCGAGAAGTAAAATTAGAGGTAGATTGAAATTCCAATTCATAGCAATTGCCTAATGACCAGTAATTCTAAAACAGGCCAATTTTATTTGACTTTTCCAGACAACTGCTCTTTGGCTTTACCAATTCTCGGATAAAATCAATTCTGTTGGCCAAAGTCAAAGGTGGTGGCTAAAATTAGAGGTTAGTTTGGAGCCCCAGCTATGAACAGGCCGCTGTCTGTCTGTAATTACTCTTAAGAGGATTGTGCCAGCTTTAGTAACAGTTAATTTTGTTGACACGTATGTGATTTTTGTAATTTTTTTTTTTATTTTTTATTTTAGTGGCACATTGGAGTTCTGTTTGTTGAAATTTTTGTAAGGTTTCATTTGGCTTGTGGGATGGAGCTTGGGAAATGTTTTGAGTTAAAATGTAGCTGTGTGTGATGCCCCTTCCGGGGCAGACTGTGCCAGTGGTGTGGCACAGGGAGAGCAGCTCACTCCGGCCTTTGCAGTGTTGGTTGGCATCATATGTCGTGCTCTGGTCTCAAAGCTTTGGTGACCCCCCTTCTTCAGTAGTTCTTCAGGGTAAAACCTCCTAGGCAGTGATGCTCTAATGAGGGCAACACGCAAACATCACAGTTGATACCTTATTTCCCTTCCCTGTAATTTTGTATTCCATTCGTATGTATTCCTTTGCACTCTGTTCCAAGCACGTTGTTCAGAAGGGAAATAATGAATTAATGGCTTGTTGGGTAATCTCTCCATGTTGCATCACAAAGTGTGCCCCTGAAGTTTGCAAAGGTCGTGCTTGTCACTGAGCTGGCTAGGGGCTGAAATTTCTTCTGCTGTCACAGGAAGGCATGTGGTAAATGGCATTTTACTAATATATGCAAACACATCCATATAAAAATGAAGATTCCTTTCCCCCATAAATCTGTTGAGTAATGTTGATAATATCTTTGCCCTTCATCCCTTTAATTCAACTTTATTTGTATTGTTTGGGGGTTTTTGTGTTTTGGTTTTTTTTTAAGAAAAAAAGAAAAAGAGAGACTGACCATCTGAAGATAAGGGTTTAAATGTCCTTTCACCCTAGTTTGTAACAACTTTTACTATATATCACACTTATTTACAATAGATAACATTGGGGAATAATTTTGTGGAGTTTACAGTCAGTCAATTGGGCATAATAAATGAAATAAAAGAGAAGATGTAAAAGGAGGTCTGACTGAGAGTTGCATAGCCTGCAGTGAAAAATGAGTTTCCTTTTCCAAAAACAAAGTTATTAAGGGATCATGTATGGTCATTATAACTGACTAAATAAAGTGACATATTGGTGGGACAAGCAGGAAAAGGAAAGCATTCATTTGAAAAGGAAAGATGGAAGATACATAAAGAGTAACAAAAAGAAGTGAATGGGGTAGAAAGAGTCTCCTGAAGTGTTACCTGCAGACTCCGAAGTGTTTGGCTGAAGGACATCTGCCTTTCTCATACCTGAGTTGGTGGCTTAGTTCCTCTGGTTTTAAGGGTGAGTATGAATAGAATTATGGGAGAAAAAAAATCATCAGTGTAAGACCTGTAGAATTGGGTGAAGAGGAGAGAGACAGTTTTTGAGCTATCTGCAGTTTGACGGGATGTGGAGCGGTTTTTACACTGATGATCACAAGGGGCACCACTTTTTCCTCTTAGAGGTGCCTTTGGAGGGAAAATGAAACTTTGTGTGCAAAGAGTGCTATTTTTCTGAAACGTGAATACCAGAAGTATGACTTTGGTTGAGGGTGTTAAGTAGCCTTTAACATAAGAAGCCAGAAAGAAAAAAATGAACAGTGGTGTGGCAGAGCCTAAACAGAACTTTAAACGAACGTGTTCCACCACTGGTGTTGGAGCAGGGTGGAATGCACCATTCCTCCCCAGACATTTTCCTTCTTATGTCTACAGGCCTCCTGCAGAAGACTCTCAGATAAATAGCTGCAGTAGTGTGGCATAAATGAAACAGTAGGGTCTTTTTTTGCCAAAAATGAAGAACTTGGATGCCTTCTACCATGTGCACTACGGGGGGAGCAGCTGGAGCAGTAGGCATAAATTTAAAAAGAAAAAAAGTGGATATCCCATCCCTGGAAGTGTTCAAGGCCAGGTTGGATGGGGCTTTGAGCAACCTGGTCTAGTGAAAGGTGTCCCTGCCCCAGAGCAGAGGGGTTGGAAGTAGATGATCTTTAAAGCACCTTCACATCCAAACCATTTTATGATTTGATGAATTTACATAAAGGGGGAGATAATAAAATTGTCAAAGAATGAAGTGGTCACTGGAAGGGCAGTGTGGTTTGGGGTGGTTTTGTGGTGTTTGTTTATGGTTGGTTGGCTTGGGGTGTTTTTTTTAATTAATTTGTCTGGGTTTTTTTTGGCCAACTGTTAGTTTGACAGGGCAATGTACACATTTTTATTTCGATTAGCAGGTTAGTGGATGTTACAGCTGAAATTTGTGTGGGGGTCGGTGTTTGTGAGGCGGATTCACTGGCACAGTTGGGAAGGGGAAGGAGCTTTCTGCCTTGTCTTTCTTAGCTGTCCCTGCAGTGTTGATATGGTGGCAGCACCAGCACACCTCCTAGGGCTGCTTCAGGCGTGTCCTTACCTGGCCTTTCGTTGCTGTTTGCTGGCTCTGTTGTTTGGTAAAGTCACCCATCACTACCCACGTGCCCGAACTCAACGGTCCCTTCCTGCGGCCTTGCACTCTTGACGCTGCACCTGCGCTCCACCAGCTCAACACTCTCATTTGAAGAGGACCCCAAAGAGGACGCTGCTGTCCTCCCACTCTGCTGCTGCTGCCTCAACTCAGCCACTGCCTAAACCAGCACTCGCTTTGTGAAGGGCGTGGGTTGTTCCACCGTTTGTGTCCAGGCTCTTCCAGTGAAGCAAACGGATTATCTATACCCAGTGCACTCCAAAAGCATGTGTGCAGGAGTGAAGTTTACTGAAGGTCTGTGAACCATGAAGACGTGCCTCAGAGGTCTCAATGGGACACGTGAATGAGTGGAAAACCAAGTTGGAAACAAGGCGTTAGGAAAACCTATTCAGTGCACGCAGTTGTTTCCCTGCAGTAGGGAGCACCTTCTCCTTCTCTTCTTGCAATCTTTTTCAAGTGTAGATCACTCATGTTAAATATATAGCTGGGAACATCTTGTGTTAAGTAGAGATATGAACCTGAACAGAAGAAGAGGTCAAGCGTGGAAATAAATTCCAGTCAGTACTGGATGATTGAGAAGTCCCTTTTCTCTCACTCCCTCTTGTTTGGAGAGGCGGTGCTTGAATTCACTTCAGAAATGAGGAGGAGAAAAGTACAACTAGGGTTTCTTTTAAAGGAAAAAAAAACCCCAAAACAAACAACAACTTCCTCTTTAAATTCACATTAACATCTGGAAGTGGGTGGCTCAACCCTGTAATCATCTGTGTCATCACATTACGTTTTCCTGATCAGCGTATGGAATATTAAGTGTTGTGATGTCCCACATCACGCTTGAATTTTCATATAAATGTTCTTGCTGTTTAGGACACTAGTATTTGACGGGTAAACAAACTATTTGAAATGGTTTAATAAAGCCTTATAGTTGGTACACTTAGTTCTGTGGACTGCCTTTGGAAAAGAAGATTGATTTCTCCATGAACCAAAGCCTCTTCCCAGTTCTCCGGTGCCCCAACGTACTTTGTGGTCACAGCAGCGAGCACGTTCTGGTTATCATTGGGTGGTTCAAAGATGCAACGCGGGTGTGACGTGCCCCTTTCACAGACCATAGCTCCACAGCAAGCTGTATTTAGCCATATTGTGTATGTGCTTGAAGGGATTAGTAATAGATTTTTGGTTTTCTTTTTTTTTTTTTTTCCCCTTGGAAGTCATCGGAAAGCAAAAGACTAAATCTATTTTGATTTCACTCGGGATAGATTAATGGGTGTCAAATGTTACACAATACTTGACATATCCACTGCTGTTAAGTTGGCCGTGGCAAAGGGATTACCCGATAATGAATCACCAAGCTCTTTAGCTGTTTAAAGGGAATCGTGCCGCTTCCTTGCCCTGGTGGGACTCCCTTCCCTGCCCAGGACCTTCCTGTGAGGGTGCATGTTCGGGTGTGGAAAACTCCACGCAGATGTGTGAGCACCGGTTTGACAGCTTTGTGTTCGGCTTCTACCTTGCTAATTGTTTTCGTGGGATTATTCGGATTGTGTAGAAAGCTTTTTCCAAATCCCCTTTATTACCGAAGTTATTGTTGCCAGCAGGAATAAGATTAAAGGTGCTTAAGTCTGTAGAGTTGTTTCTAATTTGTACGTGTCATTTCAGTGGCATTTGAACAGAACTCTGTCTCTTCCCCTCCCTGCTCCCCTGTGGTACTGTGCTTGAGTTAGGGCTGAGAAGCCAAGCTATTGGAAGAAAATTCATTTTGTTCCCTAATTATTATGCTGGCACTCGGGAGATAATTTTTCCCTTCATGCACTGCCAATTAATATGCAAATGAGCTGATAAATATTTATACCGTGATTTAAATTATGCAGGGAGCGCTTTCAGTGTACTCTGCAAATGAATTGTTCATGGACTTCAAAGTGCTGGCTGCTGTGCTAACGAGAGGAGATTTGCATAAGGCCCTAATCAGGCGCATACTGATTAAGCTTCATTATGGAAACTGCCAGCTGCAATCTTTGTTTCTATTTTATTACAAAAAGGGGAACTTTTCACGCTTCAGTCGCCTTGACAATGTCAGACACAGCTAGTAGGAGAGACTAAAACTCCACACAGCAACTGAAGTTTCCCCGTTCAGTTGAAGATTGCTATGGTGTAACTGAAGTTGTATTTCTCCCCCCCACCTCCCCACTCCCTTTCGTGCTCGGTTCAGAGCAGTAGTGTAGATTTGATAGAAATTGCCATTCTCCCGTTCCTTGGACTATCTGAACCCGTAGAGGAGACCACAGCAATGCTGGACTGCAGCGACTACGTTCTAGGTGGGTACCAGCTCAGCTCTTTCTTACGGACACCGAGGCTGCGAGATTGACTATGCATAGAGGCTTAATCACATATGCAGAGGCTGGAGAGGGTATTTGGGAGGCTGGAGCTCACCAGTGAATCGGCAGCAAGTAGCTGCCTGGTAGGTAGATAGCTAGATCTGTACCAGGGAAATACATGGCTTGTTTTTTGTTGTGGTTTTTTTTTGTTTTTTTTTTCCCTCCCTCCTTTCCCTCGCTCCAGGAGAATTCGTTTCCACTGCACAGACTTGGATGATATTAATACAGACCTTTTGCTTTTAGGATTTCAATCTGAGAAGCATTTGGCTTCTAACAAACGCTGGACTTGACTTGCATGTCCCTGTGTTATGAATTTTAAAGCATTAAAATGAATGAGAGGGAGCCTCAGTCTCAAAGAATTTAGTAACTGTATTGAGCCATTCCACAACAGAATGCATGTTATGTCTGTGTATTTTTAATATAGCAAGGTTCTTCGTGCGTAATAGAAAATAAGGTGGAGTGCACAGTGGTTGCCATTGATACCGTGGCAAGCTGTGCTTAAGGTTACTGGGATAATATATTTCCTGCGCCGAGATTCCACCAGGGCTGCGGAACAGACATGCCATAATTTCTTCTCCATGTCTTCTAAAGTCATTTATAGTTATGGATCATCCCAATTTTACAATAGGTTTTATTTATTTTCAAGGCTTTTTCCACAAAGCTCAATGTGTGTGTGTGTGTATGTATATATATATTTATTATTCTTTTAGTTCCATCATATAAGTTCAGGTGAGAACTTATATGTCAAAGAAAAAGGAATATATTTTTGGATGGTAAATTTTAAAGCAGACACATGAATATGTTTGTTTCTGAATATGATGTGGTTTTTTAAAAATTAATTTCTAAGCAATTCTTGGCGTGTTTTCACTCACATTAAACTTTGGTTTTTCCGTGCACGTCAGTGAATCATTTATTCCTGGTGCTGATGGAGCATTAGGCAGTTTCACTTTGATGGGTGAAAGGAAACAGTTAATGGCAATATAACCATGTTAAGATTTTCGGTGTTTTACCAGCTGGGTACAGTCTCTGATACTCCAGGTTGGTCCAGTGTCCGCTGCTTCTTTCTCCTGAATGCCTTTGGGAACGTTCCTGAGGGTGTGTGAGAGCCTGGCACGGCACTGCCTGGCGACACCTCAGCCCTGCCAGCAGAGTAGCTGTACGGAATGTATTCGCTCCTGAGAGTTTGATTTCAATCATGCACCTGCTGCTTTCGATCCTTCCTTCTGTGGAGTTTGTTTTTTAGATAATGTTGGCAGAAGTTGTAGCCCAGGGCCTTTATTTAAAACCTGAACAAGATCTAAAGGAAGAAGAAAAGGTGAAGGCATTAAGGTTTGGGGGTTTTTTTTAGCCCACTTCATTTGTTTATTCTTTTACCTTTAAAGCAGAAATTGTATGAGCATGCATAAACCAAATAGCCTTTTTATTTGACATATAATGAGTCCGTAGGTTCAGTATCCCGCGGATATGAGTCTGTTTTGCTGGTAGCAGTTTTGTGCTTCAGATGTATGTCCTACCATTTGCAATGGAAATAGCGCCATTGTTCTTGATGCTTTACATGCAGAAGGCCCACAGATTGAACAAGAAGTAGTCAGCTGGTGAAATAATGGATGCTATCCTTCGTTTGAACCTGAGCACTACCAGAAAGATGTTTCTTCTTCCAACTTGCTGCTTTTTTGCAATAGGAACATTTGAGGTCTTTGTTAAGGACGGATCTTTACAATAAAATATTCCTCATCTAGACAAGCTTTTAGTAGATAAGTAGTTGTATATGTCTAGTACTAGAAAACACTGGAAACCTTTTCTAAAAGGGTTTATTTTGCAGCACAGTCTGACAGAAAAACGTCTTGGCTTGCTTTATGGAAGGAGGTCTCTACAGTGATAACTTCGTATAACTGAGCAAACTTGCTCATCATGCAGGAAGGCTCCTTGCAGGAGCCTCCTCGTACAGACAGAACAGTCACTACCTTGCTTCGAGTTCTGTGCACAGGACACCTGTGTCCCCTCCTCTGGGTTTCTACCATTAGTGTCCTGCACTGCAGCTCCAATACTTCAGTTTCTCCAACAAACCAGCAACAGGAGGCCCTGTGTTGTTTTTCTTGCATGAGTTTTCTGAAGTGACTCAAGGAATGGATCCCATGCTGTTGAGAGACACCCTGCTCAGCCTGTGCTCTTCCCTTTTGTGGTCAGTTGTATAGTGAGTTCAGGCCACCCCTCTGCTCTGGGCTTAAAAATGTACATCCTACATCCAGTAGCACCATAAGTTAGCCCAGTTTCCACAACCAAATATATTTCACTTGAAAGTGCTTTTGCTCATCTTCCTGTTGGATGGGGACTCTTGATGTTTGCATCAAAAGCAGAGACTCTCCTTCAGTGCTCTCTAAACATAAACTACTTTCAGTAGCCCTCTCTGTGTAAAAGAATGAACTAATGCTGTTTATCAAATGCATGTTGCCTGTAATCATTCCAAATAAATGTGCTGTTGCCACAAGACTAAACTCAATTTAAGGTATATGCAATGTCTAGATAGAAATGTCCTTCGTATTTATTTTGCACACAGATCTATCTGGAGAGAGGGCTGTGTCAACAGCAAACATTTCTATACAGTCAGTGGAACCATGTTCTGCTTCTAGAGTGTGGATCATGCTATCCAAATATGGAAATGACAAAATAAGGAACCTGGAAGCAAAAGGTTCTGCACCAGCAACCTTAGCACAGTTCTGTCTTTCCAGACTGAAGTCACAGCTTGAATGTGCTAAGCAGAGGTTGTGAAAAACGGGGCAAAACTTGCAGCTTCTTGCTGAAGTGTGGGCCAGCAGTGCTTAACTGCAAAGTTTCTCCTCACTCTCTCTCTCAAAAAGCAGTTTAACACATCTGCCTTTATACTAAGAGTAACACTGATAGTTCAGATCTCTTTTACACGTGGCTGAACATTTGAAAGATGTAAGGATAGGCATAGGAACTTTCTGAGAAGAGTTGAGGCTCTGGAGAGGATGTGTTAACTTGTGAGGGAAAGTTTCCTGCTTATTACAGGCCTCTGGGTTTTCAAGGCTCTACTGGGTTCAACTGCCACGGTTGTTTATGTGGAAAATTATATTAGTTTTAAAAACACTGATCACGGAATCACAGAATAGTTTAGGTTGGAAAAAGATCATCTAGTTCCAGCCCTTAAACCCGTGCCAAAGGCAGGGGTACATTCCGCTAGACCAGGTTGCTCAAAACCCCATCCAACCTTGCCTCAAACTCTTCCAGGACTGTGGCATCCACGCTGTCTCTGGGCAAGCTGTTCCTGTGTCTAACCACCCTCTCATCCTAATAGCCAGTCCAAACCTGCCCTCTTTCAGTGTAAAGCCATTCTCCCTTGTCCTGTCACTACATGCTCTTGTAGAAGTCCCTCTCCAGCTCTCTTGTAGGCTCCCTTTAGTTACTGGGGGGCTGCTGTAAGGTCTTCCTGAGCCTTCTCTTCTCCAGGCAGAACAACACCAACTCTGTCTATCCCCGTAGCAGAGGTGCTCCATCCCTTTACCCAGCTTGGTGGCCTCCTCTGGACTCGCTCCGGTAGGTCCACGTCCTTCCTGGGCACTGGTGTCTCTGGGTAGTAGCAGGTGATGGTACATGGCAACATTGCATCTTCTCATTCCCAGCTTTCACAGGCTGCCAAACAGTGAAGGGTCTGGGCATTCTTGGAACTGTCTGGGGTGGGGGGAAAGATGCAGCAGTTAGTGCTGTTACTGTATTCTTCTTCAGTCCATTGGTGTTATGGAAATCACCGCTTTGATGGAAGTACATGGCAGAGGTAACCTTTTAAACACCTTGCAAGAGAATATCCTGGAATAAAGGGTTCATTTTAAGCTCATTGAACTTGATTTTGGCTCGTTATGAGAATGGAAGAATGGGCTTAAGGATTTGCTTACACTTTATTTTATGATCTGGTCTGTCTTGAGGTTCTGTTTGTAATTTTGGTTTGTGATAATGTGGCTCAGTGGGGTCAGTAGCAAGGAATGAGGAGGTAATAAGCTGGAAAGCTGATGCTGTATACAGGACATCTGTATAGATTCCTTTATGAGGGAACTATATTCTCTGTCTGCTGTCTGGAGAGGCCCTCTGCATTGCACTACATTCAGCTGACAGGCTTTGAAACCAGGAACAGACTTTGCAATAGACTCATCCAGAGGGAGATAGAAAATGGGTTGGTTTATACCTGTATGGTTTTGCATGAATATATAGGAAATATAAAATAACTTAGTGTCAGTGACATTCCAGTAAAACAGAAATGCAGTATTAGAAAAATGGCATCCATTTAATTGTAGTGACTGAATTTCCTTTCGCTTATCAGGGTGGGGTGGGGAGAACAAACACAAGGATGATGTAGGCCGTGGTGGTCAGACTTCATGTTTTTGAATCTTGGTGTAGTAATTTTTCCTTCCTCCCCCCCCTCCTTTTTTTTTTCTTTTATGACTTTCATTGTATTGAAAATTAAGTTCCTACCTATCATTGCCTTCCAGCATGCTGTCTTTTCTTCCCTTAATACCACCTTTTCACATATGGGAATAATGACATAGAAAATTTTGAAACAATATTTATCTGGAAGATTCAGCGTTGTGTTCTGCTTCCGGTTGCTCTTTTTGTGTTATACTCTGAATTAGGGTAAAGTACATAGCAAATTTCTGATGTTCTGTACTTCCCCTAGGCAAAAAGGTATTAATAGATTTGGGGTTTTTTTTGCTGTGTTGGTTTATCTTTATTTCTGTTTTAATGCAGACTCAAGAATGAACAATCCGTCAGAAACCAGTAAACCATCAATGGAGAGTGGGGACGGGAACACAGGTAAGAAATGATGAATTGGTGCACAGATATTTTCTGGTGGAATTGAATGAATATGAAAAGCCAAATTCTTTACCAGCTTACTGGGATAAAAAAATACCAAACCAAAAAAAAAACCCAAACTCCACACCCACTGTTTTTAGAGACTTGGGAACACTTTTGTCATTAACCATACTGTATTGGAGCACTACCCACACAACATTAGAGTCCCCTTCCCCCTTTTTCTATCTGTAACGTTTATGATACTACAGAAGGCCTGGTGGCACTAGCTCTCCATAAGTAGTCTCGTTTTTTCCTGGCAGAACAGACCTTCGGCACTTCTAACTTCGTCATTTATTTTTGGGTTGAAGTTTTCCCTGGCAGGTGTGGGCCACTACCTGATCTTGTTTCCATTTTAGATTTCATTCAAGCTGTCAAAACAATTCTCAAGAACAAGTGAAAGGGAGAAAGCCTAATTTCTCAACATTAAAAAAGAAAGTCGCCCAACCTTTCTGTAAGTTCCTTATGTGTTAGAACAGAACCTTGAAATTTGGTCAAATTTAACCTTTGTGCCAGGGCCAATGTGCCTTTTGGTGCATCCTTAAGATGTGAGCCTTAAGTTCTGAGCCATTGGAGAAGGTTGTTAAGCCTCTGTAGCTTAAGCATTCTATCTTATGCTTTAATTCCTTTCTGGAAGTAGTTTAATGTTCACTTTGGAAGCAAGAGGAATGACACTTCTGAATGGAAAGTAAATAGTTTAACCTGACTCAGAATCTTTTCTGAGCTCAGAACAGCGTTTGGGAAGAGAAAATTTTAATGATAGGGAACTTGTTGCTTTGAGGGAAGTCTGGTTACCTTGTATGAGGGAATATTATTTTTCCTTCTCATGGTTCAGTAATAAGAGTTTTATTTTAAACTCTGGAGTTGTGAGGAAATTAACACTATGTTTCATTCTATACCACTGTCTCCTAATTCTTTGTGCAAGGCTTTAGTGCAGCTGAGAGTGACTGAATGTTCCCAGCACTGGTCCGAGAGGCTGGATGTTTTCTGCCAATGCACGGGGTCAGTCCAAAGGAATTCTGCCTGCTTATTAATGTGTGTTTTGTCACTGGCTTCTCAGGTTTTATAATTGCCATTGTATTTTTAGTAGGAGAGGTATCAATTCTTTCTATGCGCAGAAGTGTTTTGTTATGTATTTAATACTGGTTTAGGGTGATATAAAACCGTATTTCCAAAACATATGGACTGTAAATATTTCATGATCATAAACAGCATCAAGAGAACAATGATTTTTAAATATCCCTGTAGACTCCTTGTAGCTGGAGGTTGTGTGTAAACTCCTGAGAAAATTCAGATTTCCTCCTCTGTATGACCACAGTTCCCAGCATATGTTTTCTCCAGAGTGCATTCCCAACACCCTTCCCTCAGTGCAGCCTTAACCAGCAGTTTGACCTAAACTGAGCTGTTAGGAGGAGGATCTGCTTTATTCAAAGGTAGTCCTTAAAAATAAATCCATTATCGTGAAAGCACTGCACCTGCTTCTGCAGAACCCTGACTCGGCTCTCCAAGGCAAATATTTCATCATTGTGAAGGTGGGGGTCATGACATAGAATGGATGGATTGTAAAGCTGCATGTAGGTCCTTTCATGTTAAAAGGGGATACAATGTCTATATTTTTTTATACTCTAATACTAAGGTTAGTTATTACAAAAGTTTGACTCATATTGGTGTTTGGAGCTTTGGAACATTGCTTCTGTAGTTTAAATGTTACCAGTCTTTCCTTTCAGTTTTGTGCCCTGATTTTTTAAATTATGTGAACTAAAATAATCTAGAATTTTTGAACACCCTTTGTTCTCCAGTCATTGTTTTGTTTTTAAATAGAGTTCATAAACCACTGGAGATAGTGATTGATGGCATTTGTGACGTTCTTTGGGAGCTCAAGCATCAGTTTTATTAGTCAACTTGGCAGATGTTAAACCCTGAAAGGAATACTCACAGAATGTAATTTTAGGCTTCTGATCAGGGTGCTTAGATTATGGTTCTGGACTCAGTGCATCCTTAGTGGGGAAAAAAAAGTCAGCTTTCAGCTCAGATGCCGAGGAACTGGGAGTGCCATCGATTTTTCTTCAGTGCCTGTGCTCCCCAGACCTGCTCCCCAGACAATGTGTGAAGATGATTTTTATAAACACTCAGAGTTCTTATTTTTATAACTTCCTGCAACTGCCTGTTTTCCAGCGACATTTGTAAATCACTTGAGTCTGTTGTGCAAACACTACTAGTCTATCTTTTAAACCTCAGTAGATGTTTGTTTGGGTCATTCCTGTTTTAAACTGTAGTGAGATGATGCAACTTGAAAATTTTAAGAGAGATTACTCTAGGGCATGAATTTCCATTTGGCAGAACTAGTGTTCTCAGGAAAAAAACAACAGTTGCCACTGGTAAAGATGACAACATCAGTATTTTTCTGACCTAACAACTAAGTTTCATGGAGTTAAACTAGGATTTTGTGTTTTGAGTTCTGACTATTTAGGGACCATAGTAAAGTCCCCTAAATATGTTGGACACAATAGAGTGCCTGAAATAGATTATAACTTTAAAATCTTTGTGCTAGCTGGGCTTCCCTTTTAAACATCTGAAAAAGCAACCCATATTTCAGATCACTTAAGAACAACAACAAAAAAACGAGTACAAGAGTTGTTGGATGGCTGTTTCCTCAAGAACGTGAATTGATCCATCGGTCATCAGTATTGTAGAGTTACAGAAATCTTTTCCAGTCTTGCAGTTGTGGGTGGACAGTCTATGTATTAGCTACTGGAAAAAAAGAGAAGTAAGAAGAATGTCTAACAGTAAATGGATAGTCTTTGGATGTCCTTTTTATAGGCTGCAGCATAAAATTTTCCAAAACACCTCAACCTTTCTGTTTGTTTAATGCACCTTGTCTTTTAAAAGCTGTGTGAATGCAGCACTATGAAAGCCAAGGTTATAATGACTATAGTATTATGACATGTGTTGACATAGCAGCAAAATAATAGTTTTTGTAAGTGTAGTATTTGGAAGGATTTTAAAGGCTCTTGTTTGCATTGCTTCATTTCCAGAGACTGATTTTTCTGGTTTCCATAAGAAGGAAGTCTGTAGGAGAGGGACCATAAAATATTCTTCAACTGCTAAAATTCTGGGCAAATATTAATGCTAAACTTCTTATTAGTAAATGTGGACAAGGAATCAACAATTCCTGAGCATTGGGGATATCTCTCTCTCTCTTGTCACACGCAGAAAGTTGGAGATCCAGCTGGGGAGATGTACTGGTGGTGCTGGGAGATGTCCCCCAGAGCACGATGCACATCCCCACACCAGTCAGCTTTCAAATCTTCCTTCTTCCTTCCTTCCTTTCCCTTTCTGAATTCTTTCTTGCACCTTACTCCACATTTCCCCAGACCTGGAGTTCCTCACTCCTCTTCCTTTCTTATGCAATTTGCAAACTCAGACTGAAGTCTGATGATTATGTTCTTGAATTCTGAGAGTCAAGTTGTTCCCCTGACTGCAGGTGCAATGTTACCTCGCCTGCTCCACTTTCTCATGCCTTTACCCTCCAAGATGGCATAAACTAATCCATGTTCAGGGTGTCCTGGTACTTAGTGTTCTGTTCCTTTCTCTGGAGAGGCACTGTGTTAGTCTCCATCCAAACCACCTCTGTGAAGTAGTTAAGCACATGACTGAATTTATGCCAGAATTTAAATGTGCTTAAGTTGCATTGGACCTCGACTATAAGGGTGAAATTTCATCCTACAGTTTGACTCAGTCTCAACAGCTTGCTGAGGGTGGAGCGCTCAAAACAAAACAAACTACTTATGAACCACCAGAAAGGGCAGGGCAGTGACAATGTAGCTGGAACAAGAAGAAAGTAGGGATGGGACATGGAGAGATCCACTCCTTTCGAGTAGGAGATGGAAGATACATGAATACTTGGGATTGTTAAAACCCCAGTGCCTGTGATTGCATCTGCTGTGTCCATTAATCATCGTGGCTTTTTGTATTGAACTCTTATCTTGAACAAAAGTGGCATTTTGGTCTTTCCATGTCCTTAGAATGTGCTGAGCTTCTGCTTCTGACAGCTCTCTTTTCCAGCTCCTTATCACGTTTCTAGATTTCTTGGATTCCACAGGAGTGGCATCACATCCTTATCAATACCTTAAGAACAAGGCCTCTTACATGCTGGACTCACTTTATTTTCCTTTCTGATCTTCAGAAGCCATAGGCATCCTGTAATAAATGCAAGCAACTCGGGTAGCATTCCTTCCAAAACTAAAGCTTCACCCAAAGGGGAGGGAATGCTGTACTTCCAAATACCAAAGAAAGTTTAAGAGGCAAGTACAGGAGAGGGTGCACAGGTGTAGTGTGGGGGTTTTTTTTGCTCTAAGTTTGGTTCTGGGAGGCCTCAGAAGAGGGAGTCGAAGTCTTTCAAGATTGAATTCAAAGAAAATGTTCTTTTCTCTCAGTGCCCAGCTAAATTCTTTATTGGGACCCATGGAGATTTTAAGCTCAGTCTTGGAGCTTGCCTTGTTCAAAAATGTCCACGTAGGAGGCTCATTTCAGGTTTCCATATTAAGAGTCAGCAGGAGTGCTAAGTGGAGCATTTTTTCTGCGCACGTGCTCAGGGATGTTCTTTTAATATGGTGTCGTGATTTGAGGCTCCTTTTGGAAGACAGTTAACTAGAACAGCTTCACCTATTTACTTAAGGTGAGGCTTCCAGCCAGTCCTCTCAGAAACAGGTAATTTTTGTAACCCCTGCAAGTTTCCAGTTGGAATAAGGAGTATCTGCCTTACGGTAGATTTTCTTATCTGGTTTTTTTTTCGTACTTTGGAGTCCCTGGCTATACATTGAAAACTAATTCAAAGCTTCTGCTTAAAAGGGGAGGTGGTAGATTGTTTCCTTTGAATTACAGTAGCTGTTTGTCAGGAATTATTTTTATATATTTATCCAATCATCTTTCCATTCCCTTTGGCCTTCTGCATGAAGAGAATTCTGCAGTTTACTGGAAAGAATGAAAATAGATGAGATTCTTCTAGCTCTTTCCAGCAGACCTTTTTTTATCTACCTTTCTTTAGAGAAAGGCAACCAAGTTGCATTCATTCAGGATCAATTCAGGCCAGTAATAGTCCTTCCATTCACTTTGTATTGGAATTTTAAACTCAAAATAATTTTACATAGTTTAAAGTTGGAATATTTTTAACACATATGTCTCCTAAGTTTCTAAACCTTGGCCCAAAGCACAGAGTTGAAAACTTGAGAGTAGACCAACTCTCCTCCCACAACACCTCCACCAAAGATGCATCAAAGGGCCACCTTTGTATATCTTACATGGATGCCAGACTATCTCTGTTGTGTCTGTATTTAGTTGAACAGCGAGTCAGTCTTTGGAAATGTTATCTGTGTTAAGCTGTTTGTAGGTCAAAATAGCAATGTAAAATACTGGGTAGTCTATTTTACTAATCACATTTTATGCCTGCTTGCTTTTGCAGATGTT